TTGCTTCGAGGGCTGCCTTGTGCAACCTGAAAATGGAAACCCTTACCCAGAGCTTTTGGCTAGCTCTGGGGTTCAGTCCAAGAGTGCCCTCCTTGGCCTGACTTTGTGGGTCTCTGGTTCAGGTAAGAAGTGGGGTGCCCCATTGTTGGGGCTACCCAAGAGTAAGGCAGCACTTCTGGGCTACAACATGGAGCATGTAAATTCCTTATACTTGATTATTCCTGGATTACATTGCTTTATTGTAGAACAAAGTTTGAGTCCAGTAGCACCCTTAAGACCAACAAAGTTTTATTCAAGGTATGAGGTTTTGTATGCACATAAACTTTCTCAGATACATTGAAATGGAACAACAGTCCATACTTTTAACTTCCATTTGAATGTATCTGAGGAAATGTGAGTGCACATGAAAGCTCATAATTTGAATAAACTTTGCTGTCTTAAAGGTGCCACTGGACTCAAACTTTGTTCTGCTGCTTCAGACCAACATGGCTGCCCACCTGGATCCATATTGCTTTATTGTGTTACTATTAGTGGTAGATAACCATAACAGTAGCATGAAAGAAAGTATTACGGCAGGGGTCTCCAACCTTTTTGAGTCTGTAGGAACGTTTGGAATTCTGACACATGGTTGTGGGGAATGACACAAAATGGCTGCCGCAGGAGGTGGAGCCAGGCACAAAATGGCTGCTGTAGCTTACCTTTAGACACACAGTGAAGATCCTTGTGGTGTGGTGACGGCTGCTGCCAAAGCAATATATATTTTTAAAATGCACAGACAATCAAATCTGCAATGGTCAATCAAAATCTCTGCTGGGCATGTCCCACCTGGTCCCTCCCACTTCCTAAAAACACTTAGTGGGTGGTAGGAAAGGTTTCAGCAGGTGCTATCGCAGGCACCACAGGCACCATGTTGGGGACTCCTGTATAAGGATATGGGGGGAAACGCAGATACACCAATTGCATGTTGTAAGTCTATAGAAAGGTGGCTGATATTTGGACTAGGTCAGTTCCTGAAAAGATGTCTGTCTAGTAAAAAAAAAGATATCTGTATATCTTTGCAGAAATCAAATATACATTTGAATATATTAAAGTGTTACTTTTTTCTGGAGATCAATACTAGCAGTAAAGCCCATTGTGGAACTAAATACAACGAGATCTAGAAAGAGGCTCTGGGGGAGTGTTCTGGCTTTGGGCAAACAGTGTCATTTTGCTGTGGTGACCTCAGCAGGGTATAATGACAGAGTCCACTGTTTTCTCCAGAGGAACTGATCTCTGCTCCCTGAAGAGTAGTTGTAATTTTGAGTGATCTGTAGCCCTCACCTGGAGATTGGCAACAATTGTTACCCAGGATGAAATGGCTGGTTTGGAGGGTGGAGTCTATGGCATTCTACCTGTCTGAGGTCCCACCCCTCCGCAAACCCCACCCTCTCCAGGCTCCACCCCTCAAATCCCCAGGAATTTGCCAGCCTGGAGTTGGCAACCCCATCTCCTTCCCAGCTAACCATCAACCTACCATTATCTGCCCCTTTGACTTCAGCTGACTTCCGCCCTCCCTTCTGCAGAGCAATTGTAATTTTGAGCGGTCTCCAGCCCTCACCTGGAGATTGGCAACAATGGTTCCCCATGAGGGACTGAGTGGTTTGGAGGGTGGAGTCTATGGCATTGTACCTGTCTGAGGTCCCACCCCTCCTCAAACCTCACCCTCTTCAGGCTCCATCCCTCAAATCTCCAGGAATTTCCCATCGGGAGTTGGCAACCCTATCAGGATTGGCCCCAATATGTTTTCTCCCAAAGGCCAAAGTAGGTGACTGGACCAAACTAAGTTGCCTACCATCAGGCACTGAGGGGAAAGTAGGGTTGCCTGCTCTAAGGAGGGAAATACCTGGAGTTTTGGGGGGTGGATTCTGTAGAGGGCAGCATTGGGGGGGGGGAAGGACTCAGCAGGTATAATGTCATAGGGTCTACCCTCCATAGCATCCATTTTCTTCAGGGGAACTGATCTCTGTCATCTGGAGATCAATTGTAGCAGTGGGAGATCTCCAGGTCCCACCTGGAGATTGGCAACCCTAGGGGAAAGTCTGCTGCACAGCAGGGGGTTGAAGAGAATGGTGTGATGGGTGCTGGGCCAAGATTGGCAACAATAGTTCCCCAGGAGCAAATAGCTGGGTTGGAGGGTGGAGTCTATGGCACTGTAACCTGTCTGAGGTCCCCCTCTCCGGCCTCCACTCCTCAAATCTCCAGGAATTTCCATACCTAAAGCTGGCAACTTTATTTCCTCCCCTCTCAGTAGCCTCTTATTTTGCCTTAAATTGGTTTTGATGTCAGCAGAGTGAGAAAATGCCAGAGGCTCTGGGTGGGTGCCTCATCGTAAATGCACCAAACAATTCCTAAAGATTTGCCAAAACACTACTCTGTCAATAAATTGCAGCACTTTGAAGTAGCACCAGAGCTTTAAGAGCTCTCCAGCTGTCACCTGGGACTGGCAACAGCTTGTTTGGAGGGTGGGGAGTATGGCATTGTATCTGTCTGAGGTCCCCCTCTTCCTCCTCCTCCTCCTCAGACCCCACCCTCAGCAGGCTTCATCCCTAAAATATCCTGGAATTTTCCAACCTGGAGTTGGCAACCCTATGTCCCCCCCCAGCCTCTGCCTAGAGAAAGGGCAGTCTTTCCCTGCAGTGGGAACCAAAGCAGCTGTCATCATTCTCCTCTCCCCCTATGAGGTATGTTAAGGTTGAAAGTGTGTGAATGGTCCATAATCCCCCAGGCAGCTTTTAAAACATGATCCTGGGACCTACACAACCCCAGACATTCCAACTGCCTTGCGGGGGGGGGGAGTATGAGGTGTGGAATGGAGTGAAGTCCAATCAGCTTCCATATGCAAAAGACCTTGAAGGTTCCATATGCAACTGACATTCCAACTGCCTTGCGGGGAGGGGGGTGAGTTTGAGGTGTGGAATGCAGTGAAGTCCAATCAGCTTCCATATGCAAAAGACCTTGAAGGTTCCATATGCAACTGACATTCCAACTGCCTTGCGGGGAGGGGGGTGAGTTTGAGGTGTGGAATGCAGTGAAGTCCAATCAGCTTCCATATGCAAAAGACCTTGAAGGTTCCATATGCAACTGACATTCCAACTGCCTTGCGGGGAGGGAGGAGGTGGTGGCAGCTACATGCATGGACAGCTTCAAGAGGGAATTAGATAAGCATATTTATTTATTTATTTATTTATCATTACACTTATATATCCCGCCCTCCCCGCGGACGGACTCAGGGCAGCTTACAAATAAGGGCAGCATGTGCCAATAAAACAATAAAATCACACATAAAAACAACCAGTGTTAACAATAATAAGTGCTCAAAGATGTTATCAATTTAGTCAAATTGAGATGGTGACCTGTAAATATACCCAAAAGCCCGCATCAACGGCATCAACGGTAGACAAATATTTTTGCAACCCCTGGAGTTCTTTTTGCATCCCTGTCAGAAAATAAAAAGGTAACTAAGTCATAGGAATATACATCCAAATGAACTTGCCAACACGAAGAAGAAGAAGAAGAAGAAGAAGAAGAAGAAGAAGAAGAAGAAGAAGAAGAAGAAGAAGAAGAGGAGGAGGAGGAGATTGGATTTATACCCCGCCCTTCACTACCCAAAGGTGTCTTAGACAACAGGCACCCTGTGAGGTAGGTGGGGCTGAGAGAGCTCTTGACAGAAACTGCTCTTTTCCAAGGACAGCTCTTATCAGAACTACGGCTTGCCCAAGGTCATCCAGCCAGGTGCAAGTGGAGGAGTGGGGGATCAAACCCGGTTCTCCCAGATGAGAGTCTGGTACTTCACCACTACAACAACCTGGCTCTTATAATGCCTCCTTTATATAAAATATAATGCCTCCTCAGATTCGCTCCAGAAGGATATGTGCCAGCATGTCAGTCTTACCTAAGAGACAGGGCAGGAGCAGATTCATTCTGAATAAGGTAAATGCATGAAACTACCTCTCATAACTGCAGAGAAATGAGCTTTTCATCTGGCCAGAATGAATGCTCCTAACAGGCTTTGAGAAAGCAACAAATAGGTGTAGGAGGGAAGACATTTTGAAGGTGGAATACCAAAAAACTGGGATGAACAGGTCTGTTTTGAAGTGCGGGGAAATAGGCTGGAGATACCATGGTGTAATAGTGAAGTGACCATTAGAGGGAGGAAAACTTGTATGGAATATTTTTTTAAAAGGCACTGAAAATGAGAGTGTGGGAAAGCCTTAGGAAAGTCCTGAACCCTTTTTTGGGTGGGAGAAATCTCTGAGAAGGCTCAGAAAAAGAAAACGGCTTTCAAGGCCAGCTGGGGGGAGAAGGGAAGGCTAAGTAATCATAACTACCTGCACACTCTGATAATATTCAGAGGCCCTGCTTCAGTTGTCCGTGCCATCTAAAGCTCACTGGGTGGTGACCTGAGAAAGGCCATTCTCGGTTGTGGGAACAAAACTTTGGAACATTCTCCCTGGCAGGCCTCTTTTTGTAGCAGGAACTCCTTTGCATATTAGGCTACACACCCCTAAGGTAGCCAATCCTCCAAGAGCTTAGAGAACTCTTCTTACAGGGGCTACTGTAAGCTCTTGGAGGATTGGCTACATTAGGGGTGTGTCGCCCAGGGCTATTTTTGTAGCAGGAACTCCTTTGCATATTAGGCCGCACACCCCTAATGTAGCCAATCCTCCCAGAGCTTACAGAGCTCTTCTTACAGGGGCAACTGTAAGCTCTTGGAGGATTGGCTACATTAGGGGTGTGTGGCCTAATATGCAAAGGAGCTCCTGAGATTCGCAGGCCCCCCCTCTCTCAGTGTCTTTTGTCAGCAGCAAAACTTCTCTGTTTTGTGTGCCCTACTCACAAGAATAGTTACTGGCCCACCTTCTAGTGTTGTTTGTTTGTGTATTTTTAGTTGAATCATTTCGTAATTTTAATTGCATTTTAATTGCTCAAATCTTTTAATGTTTTTCATGTTTGCTGCCTCGTGGGCCCTGATTGGGTGGAAAGGTGGCATAAAAATGTTTTAAATAAAATAAATACATTTTGTGAGAATTCTACATAGTCTTTTTGGGTATGTGGCTTGATACAAAAAGCTATAAACGAGCCTGTCCTTGGCCACTTTGGCGGACTGCGCCAGTCTTTTCAGCACCAGCTTCTTCCCATACCTTTCTAGAAATGTTCAACACGTTGCTGGTTAATTTCGTCCACATCAACAGGCATGTTGCACTGTTTGGAAGAGAGAAGAGAGGTGACGAAAATTTGGCTGTTGCTGTTGGCTGATGAACAGATTTTTTTAAACACTTCTATTCTCTTATGACTGCAAACTAGAGCACAAGGGAGCCTTTCCTTGGCCACTTCGGCGGACTGTGCCAGTCTTTTCAGCACCAGCCTCCTCCATACCTTTCTAGAAATGTTCAACATGTTGCTGGTTAATTTCGTCCACATCAGCAGGCACGTTGCACTGTTTGGAAGAGAGAAGAGAGGTGACAAAAATTTGGCCGTTGCTGTTGGCTGATGAACAGATTTTTTAAAACACTTTTATTCTCTTATGACTGCAAACTTCTTTTTGCCCATTAGAATTCCAGTTTACAAACGATCAAATTGACCCGGTACACTGTGGTGGGGTGTTGTGTCCGCTGACCGCCACCAGAGGCCAGCTCCTCCAGGTAATTCCCAAGTTTATGGAGCAGGAGTGGGATCCAAGGCAGCCGGAGAAATACACGGGAATGTTTCACTTCAATTTCTGGTGTTTCGGGGAGTGGATTGATGTGGTTGTTGATGACCGACTACCCACGGTCAACGGCGAGCTGATTTTCTGCCATTCCAAGGAACGCAATGAATTCTGGAGTGCACTTCTGGAGAAAGCATATGCCAAGTATGCCACTGCTTTTAACACTGCATAATTTCAGTTCTTTCATCATGAAAGAAATTACACTCTTATATTAAATGCTACTTATTCATGGTGTTGGAGGAGAGTGTCACATAGAAATCCCAAGTCCCCCCAGTGGGCGGGGAAACCCCCGCCCCAGAGGCCCGTTCCCTGGCACTGCCGGATCGGGCCCCAGGGGGAACTCCACCCCGACGTGTGTGTCACCCGCAAGTGACGCGGGCATGCCGGGCACGCTGGGGGCGGGGCCATGACCATACAAGGGAAAACTCTATGGTTTTCCCTTGTATGGCCATTGCCCCGCGTAGGCGTGTCGGTGATGAAGCTGGGGCGTGGCTGGATGGGGGAGAGCCAGCGTGAGCCCCAGACCAAGGTTCCCCAGAGGCCCCCCCAGCCTGTAGACCCCGGCCCAAACACCTTACGGGAACACATGACTGATTCAGCTCCGTGGGGCCCTCGTAGCGGCCAGGGCTCCTAGGATTTTTCCTTTCTATCCCCTCTCTGCAGGGAGACTTTAAGTGATGAAGTGTGCCTGCACACAGACACTTAGGCCCAGAATGAAATTCTGTTGGTCTTGAAGGTGCCCGGCTGGACTCCAGCTTCGTTCTTCTGCTTCAGACCAACAGGGCGACCCCACCTGAGTCTAGGCCAGCACCTGGGAGGGGTAATATTAGGGCGATGTACAAACGACACATGTAAAAGTAGGAGCAGGATTGTTCCTGATAGTCCTGCCAATGTGTTCATCCCTGGATTGGAACAGATCCTGTGCCCATGGAACTGAGGATCCAGGAAAGGTAGTGTCTCCAGTCAAGATTCATTTATTTAGTGTGTGTGGGGGTATGTGTGTGTGTGTGTGTGTGTGTGTGTGTATGCAGGGGTCATTTCGTAGGAAAAGAGGTGCAGGAGCTCATTAGCATAACTCATTAGCATGACTTATTTGCAGATGCCAAACACACCCTGACATCGCCGGAAGTGTGTCAGCAGGCAACACCCACCGCTCAGGCTCCACTGGACTGTTTTGGATTGCTAGCTACTGGAGGGGGGGGAACGTGCAGATCTGTCCTCGAGGGCTGCTGGGAGCAGGGGGTGGGGCTTATTGCATGTGCCCGGCCACTGGGCTCTTTACTGCTGGAGATCCACTCCTGTGCGCTCCTGCAGGAAGTGACCCCTGTATGTATGTATGTATATAAAAGAAAAGTTAGGAATTGCAAGAAGCAATGTTTCTCCAGGCCAGTTTGGCCAGGGATCCTGGAAGTTTTTTGCCCTCTTCTGGACGTGGAACAGTGGTCACTGCAGGTGTTTGTGGGGGAGGTATTTGTGAATTTCTTGCCTTGTGTGGAGGGTTGGACTAGATGGCCCTGGAGGTCCCTTCCAACTCTATGATTCTATGATTCTATATTTATCCCACACTTCCTCCAAGGCCCTCAAAGCACTGCCTGTTGTTCTCCTCTCCCTCAGTTTGTTCTCACAGCAACCTTGTGAGGTAGGCCAGGCTGAGAAGGAGAGTGGCTGGTTCGAAGTCATTCGATGAGTTGCATGGCTGAGCAATTTGAACCTGGATCTTCCGGATCCCACACTTAATCTCCAGCCTACGCAGGACTGAAGTGCCTGAGTGGGGCTAGTAGGTGCGATTCCCTCTCCCTGCGCATCTCTTCACTGAGCCAGTGTTCATCAAAATGCTGTGGCTCTAGGCGAAGTACTAAGACTGTTTCAACAAGGAGCAGGGCTTTTTTTGTAGAAAAAGTCCAGCAGGAACTCATTAGCATAACAGGCCACACCCAGAAGCAGAAACTCATTAGCATATTAGGCCACACCCCCATGTTACCAGAAGTGTGGTCATCCAGCCACACCCACCTTTTGCTTCTTATTCTGTTTACCTTGGTTGTGGTCAAAACCCAGGGCTTTTTTTGTAGCGGGAACTCCTTTGCATGTTAGGCCACACCCCCCTAATGTAGCCAATCCTAATGAGTTCCTGCTGTTGGGTGTGGCCTATTATGCTAATGAGTTCCTGCTGGGTGTGGCCAACTTGGGAGCCAGCCGGAACTCCGTTCCTGTGTGTTCCTGCCCAAAAATAGCCCTGACAAGGAGATTTGGAAATGATGGGGAACCTTCTTTTCCCTGTAATGCAGAGTCAAGGGAGGTGAGCCTTGGGACATGTCAGCTTCCACAGGCTTCCACGGGACCACAATGAGGACAAAGGACCTGGTTAGCACCCCTGGAAAGCATGCCATGACCCTCGGAAACATGATCTGGTGTCATAACAGGGTTCTTCACCCAAAAAATCAAAATGGAAACAGTTCCCCGACTGCTGGAAGCGTAAGAACCGCTGGAATAAATTATTCTGTAGCTTGACCTTTCCAAGAACGTGAAGTTCTGCCCTCTTGCTATGGGACAAGGAGTGACTCATTCCTGGATCACATTTGGGTGATTAAAAGCAGAGATGTCCAGTTCCCCAGTCCCGGCTTCTATTGTCGTTTTGTTCTCATGGGTCCCGTTGCCTATTTCTGAATTGGTTTCCCAAACTATCGTACGTATTTTTTGCAGGTGGCACTGGGAAATACTCATTTGATGATGCACTCTCATGTTGACATTCAGGAAGACTATTCGGAGAGTCAGTGGGGGTGTAGCAGCTAAGCAGGCTTTTTTCATTGGGGGAAGAACGAAGTGGGCACCAGGAAGCACATCAATTGCAGATCACTGGGACAGAGTGTTGGGATTGGACTGGGAACCCTGGACTCCAATCCCTACTCATACATAAAACTCACAGAGTGATCTCGGACTGATAATTTATCCTCAGTCCATCCTACTTCACGTTGTTATGAAAGAACCTGGGTATCCTCAAGAAAGGAGCTGCGGTGGCTCAAGTGGAGAGTGATCTCGGACTAATAATTTATCCTCAGTCTATCCTACTTCACGTTGTTATGAAAGAACCTGGGTATCCTCAAGAAAGGAGCTGCGGTGGCTCAAGTGATTAAGACGCTGAACTACAGGCTGTGGAAGGTCAGTAGTTCAGCAGTTCGAGACCCGAGTGTTCCACAGGACAGAGTGAGCTCCCGTCTCTAGTTCCAGCTCCTGCCAACCTAGCAGTTCGAAAGCAAGAAATTGCAAGTAGATAAATAGGTACCACTTCGGTGGGAAGGGAACAGTGTTCCGTGCGCCTTGGTGTTTAGTCATGCCGGCCACATGACCACGGAAACGTCTTTGGACAGCGCTGGCTCTTCGGCTTTGAAACGGAGATGAGTGCCACAACCCTAGAGTCGGATTCGACTGGCTTTCGAGCAAGGGAACCTTTACCTTTATACTCAACAAAGAATTCTGTTACCTCCTGTCTTCTTGGTAGAGGAGCTGTGTGGCTCAGTGGCAGAGCATTCTGCTTGGCCTGCAGAAGGTGCCAGGTTCAATCCCTGGCCACTCCACTTCAAAGGATGAGGTAGTAGGTGAAATGAACGTTCCTGAATGTTGCATTTTTTAAATGTGCCCTCAAAGAGCTGCCCTGAGGCCCCTATCCCGATTGTCTCTTTGGCTGTTTCTTTTTTACAGTTAAAATGCCCATTTAGGGGATCCTGTGTTGCTTCTCCACCCCAGGACCGTGTGTTTTTCCTCCCTGCTTCTCGTGCTTTTCAGAAACACTATTATTAGCATATCATAGTATATAAAACATTGAAGGACATGAGCGTTGGGGCTCTGCATTCTTCTATCCAACGGGATTTGGGCACGCTTGGCTGGGATCTTCTTGTAACATAAACACATGCTGCAAAGGCAATGAGATTTTCTTCCCCCTACTGTTTCAGGTGAGACTGTCAATATTTGCCGATGTGAACCTGAGTTTTCACAGACGTGCACAATGTGTAGCAGGGAAGGGATGCTTCTGAAAACCTTTTTGTCTGGATTTCTCCCTGGGTTTGGGAGCTCTGAATTAAGACCAGTGTTCCCTCTAAGCTGAGTTGCTGTGAGCTAGCTCACAGTTTTTTAGCCTCCAGCTCACAGATTTTTGCCTTAGCTCAGGAAGGATGGCCTCAAAGCAAACTAATTTATGCAGCAACCTAATGGCTCGCTCACAACTTTAATGCCCATAGCTACCAAAGTAGGATTTTTGCTCACAAGACTCCACAGCTTAGAGGGAACATAGATTAAAACTAGTCTTGATTCTGGAGGAAAGCCAATTAGTGGAGACTTCTCCGTTGCCCAGTTTTGTTTTTCAGTTTTATAGATAGCGATGTGGATGGGTCTGTGGTTCTGCTGCCAGTTCCTTCCATTCATGAGAATCTTTTCTCATGTCTGAGTCACTGAAACTAGGGATGCCAATTCTGGTTTGGGAAATTCCTGGAGATTTGTAGGGTGGAGCCTGGGAGGGGGTTTTGGGGAGGGCAGGGACCTCAGCAGGGTACAGTGCCATAACATCCACCCCCAGAGCAGCCATTTCCTCCAGGGCAACTGATTCGTGCAGTCTGAAGATCAGCTGTAAGTCTGGGAGGTCTCCAGGCCCCACCTGGAGGTTGGCATCCATAACTGACACACATACGTGTGCCTCAACAAAACATTGTACAAGGGAAACCTTGACCTGATTGTATAGTTCACTGTATGTTTGACATCTCGTTTGGGGTTTTACCGATGCACAGGAATGGTTATTTGCATCCAGGGCTATTTTGGGGCAGGAACGCACAGGAACGGAGTTCTGGCTGGCTCCCGAGTTGGAACTCAATAGCATAATAGGCCACACCCAAGAACAGAAACTCATTAGGATTGGCTACATTAGGGGTGTGTGGCCTAACATGCAAAGGAGTTCCTGCTACAAAAAAAGCCCGGGGTTTTGACCACAAACAAGGTAAACAGAATAAGAAGCAAAAGGTGGGCGTGGCTGGATGAGCACATTTCTGGTAACATGGGGGTGCAGCCTAATGTGCTAATGAGCTGCTCTCGGGGTGTGGCCTAATATGGTAATGTTTCTGCTGTTGGGTGTGGCCTATTATGCTAATGAGTTCCTGCTG